GGTGTGAAAGAAGATAAACAACAAAATCGCCGGGAAGTCGCTGAACAGTAAAAGGCTTGCACCTGAGCTGGGGTTGGAGTCAAGAGAAGCAGAATTATAATTGTCACCTTTGCTCTTGGATTTAATCATCACCCACAAATCACAAGAGACTACATACTTGTGCCTGACTCACACACTGGTGTCTAGAAAATGTGTGAGTCACATAAATGACCAACTTTGGTTGAGATGGGGGTGGTTCACTCTGCAGTCACCCACAAGCTACGAACAGAGACATCTTCCACATAGCACAGGGTACCTCCCGATTCCAACATTGAAAATCACCAAGGATATAGTCATTTTAAAGCATTTTGGATTTCCATTTGATTTGACACAAATCTCTCAAATTAATCCCAAACTCAACCTTATTTGGTAAGTTTCAATAATCAGCCATTTCATTTTTTTTACTTCATGTCTGTTTGTGGGACATTGCTGTGTGCAAATTGGTTGCTGCACTTGCCTATGAAATACACAATCGCTAGACTCTACAATAAATTCTGTGAAGTATCTTGGAAAGTTTTGACAAAGTGATAAAGCACTATATCAAATGCAAGGATTATTTATTTCATTTTCAACCGGCTCTGCTTTTTATTTTACATTGTAAAGAACACTGCGTGATTCAGCCAAACCAATATGTACTACCACATGCAAATCAGAGCCAAATTGTGATTTTCCTGCTTTATCACTGTCCTGGACAACATCACTGTTCAGGCCCAAACTCAGACTGTTATTAAAAAACAAATGTACTGGATCCCATCATCTGACTTTCTTTGAATATTATTTCTCCACTGCCAGAACAGTAAGTGAATCCAAAAATGACATTTTAAGCTATGTTAAAGAATGCTGAACTACTTGAAGAAATATTAGTTTTGACCAAAGTATGGGTGGCTGATATTTTCTCACTTCTGCATCACTGGTAAGTTATGTGCCAATAACACAAATGGTTTATTTACCAGCTATTAACTGGCCCCAATGTGTACCCTCTGTTTCTGACCATCATAACACACCAGTACCCTTTACTGTGAATCATCCAACCCTAACTTTGATAGCTAACATTTCCTCATTAACCTCATAAATAGCTATTAAAACTCTACTCTGCATTTTAATAAGTATCTACTTTACCCGTCAAGTGTAGATTTATTTAAAAAACACATGTCCCCATTTATTTCTATTGGAATCAGTTTCCAAATTATATATTTTAACTGAAGTCAATATTAGTTCAGTAGATGAACCAAGAAAAATAATTATTTTAGGTGGTCAGCCTGGCTCAGTTGCTCCTGAATCGAAAGATTGTGGGTTCAAATTGGGAATTTGAGCTCAAAGTCTACCTGATGGTCCAGGACAATGCTGTGATACTACTGCGTTGTCAGAGGTGTTGTCCTTCAGACCACACATTAAACTGAGGTCCCGTCTTTCTGGTCAAGATCCCACGGCACTATTCAAAATCAAAAGATAGTTCCTCCTGGTGCCCTGGCCCACAATCCGCTAGATAAAATTGGTTATTACTTCACCCATGGCCGTTTGTGCGACAATGCTGAATATAAATTGGCTGTCATTTTTGCCTGCAAAATACACAATTATTACACTTCACAGAAAAACTCTTTGAACTTTGTGGACACTTCCAAATTGATAAGATGCTATAACCAAGTGCAAGGGTTAGTTTTATTATTTCACTGCAAAATATAAATTCTGTAGTACCAGATGATATGATAAAAGGTCAGGACAGGCTCAATGGGCTGAATGGCCTCCTCTTGTTCCTACATTACTATTTTCCTACCTGAAGCTGTTGCAAGCTTTTGCTAACATTAAAATCCTTGTAATATTCACTTGTTTGGTTTGTACTCGGTTATAGTGTCTTATCACGTTGAAGTGACCACGAAGTTCAAAGAGTTTTCTGTGAAGTGTAATAATTGCGTATTTTGTACATCCATCACAAACAACACCTTTCACATAGGATGAAAGTCGCAAACAGCTTTATAAATGTTATAGGCAGCACTGTGCAGGAAAAAGTGAGATGTCAGAATGTCAACCAAAAATATGGTCAAAGATAATTTTTAAAGTGGATTTTGAAAGAAAGGAACGAGGAAGCAAGGCTGAAAATTTGGAAGAATTACGCAGGGCAAGTGAATATTGCCTAAAGGATCAGTAGTGGGACAGGAGTGAGGAGCGGATGCCAGAATCAGAAGAATAGGGCAGGAGCAGATCGTACAATGAGGAATAAAACTATGTAAGGATTTGAACAACCTTAAAGTCAATGTGCTGGGTTTTTGGAAGTCAGTTGCAAGACTTTAGAAATGAAAGCTGTCAGTGGACCATGGAGAGAATGGATATAATCAGAGTGCGGAACCCAGTGGGAAGAGAACATGGACTGAAAAGCTTTGAATGAGTTATTGGTTTACAATAAAAATGTCTCTTGGACAAGACTTAACTATCTGTGTAATAAGGAGCAGCTCCTCTTATCAGAGCTGCCTCTCAACTTAACATGGAAAAGAGGCTCTCCCGACTCACTGTTCTGGTCTTGATAAGGCTTTACAATACAAAGTATTACCTTGGAACCAAGTTGTTACTGATAAGTGTTTTTTTGTACAAGTTTTGTTAGTTACTACATGAATGGGTTCTCAACTTGATAAGACAGTCTGCCGACAGGACATGGGGGCGGGGGTGGGGGGTGCAAGTACACCGAGTCTTTGTTCAAATTACCAATTTCCAAAATAAGACATTTTGAAGATCTGCTAGAGCTTTGAGAAAATGCATCTGCATGACTGTCAGAAAAGATCAGAGTGAATATTCTTTTGACACAAAGCAGCTCTTCAAAGTGTCTGAACACTAGCAATAATTAGGGATTTACAAAGATTACCAAGAATGTACAGCATGGAAACAGGCCACTCACCCCAACCAGTGTGTGCCCGTGTTTATACTCCAAACGAGCCTTCACCCATTACCTGCTCCCCCTTAAACCCTCATGTAAAAGTCTAGCTTCCTCTTGAATGTATCTACACCATCTGATTCGACCATTGCTTCGGGCAGTGAGTTCCACAAACTCACACAAGTAGTTCCTCTTAAATTATCTTTTAAATCCCTTAGTCTCTATTGTATATTTGTGTCCCCTGGTTACGGACTCCCCAACCAGTGAAAACAGCCTATATTCGTTTGCGGTGGCCTTTTTGTTGCAGGCAATAGAAACAATAATTGTCTCTCATGAACTAGTTGAGAATTTCCTTCCAAATGTTTGGAATCACTTAGGCACTAATGGTTACATTGTCATCCCGGTGTGCACACCCTACCCTGCCATGTGTTAAAGCTGTGGAATCACTTTGAATCTGCTCAGCCTCTCTTGCGTGATGAGCACCTTGATTCTGATGGTGTCTACTTCCCTGATGAAACCTACTTTCGCCCACAGAATGTACAGTCAATTCACTTTACAATATATTTTGCAAAGCGCTATAAGGCGCTATATCAAATGCAAGGATTATTATTAATTTGCATCTGTCTGCAAAATACAGTCACTACACTTTACAGTAAATCCTGTGAGACACTTTTAGCTGTCGTCTTTAACTTAAGGGCACTATATCAAATGCAAGGATTATTATTTTTATGACTTCCTTTTGCTAATGTGCCAAGTTTGGAAAATGTACAGGACAGATAAGTGCAGGCTTTGGCTTTGTAGGATTGAACACGAAAGTCAATATGTGAGCCAACAGGGCTGCCAAAAACATGGTGATTGGAACTATTTCCTCTCTCCTCAAATACTTCTGTAGCATTGCCTACTGCTCAAAACAATGGAATTTCCCTCAATGGCTGTCAAATTTTGAAGGTGGTTTTCTGTAAGTTCTTTAAGGACTACAAGAAAATTGATTTCAAAGATAAGCCCGAATTCAACAATATGGTCAAATTCCAGCAAGCTGATAGGCTAAGACATTGGTGGCCATGGCTCGTGGGCTGGAATTGACTTCCGTCAAGAAGCTCTCCAACCCGAACATTTGCACTAATCTAGGCAAGTCTGTGTTCGAGCGATAGCCTGTTTCCAGGTTTTTCTTGATTCAATATTTATTGATTCATGTCATAAATGAAGAAATATTCAATCAAGAAAAATTATTTTGTTGGGTGACCAAAAAGGTTGGCCACCACTGTGCTAAGAAAACAGTGATCTCACAGCACAGCATATAATTGCATCTAGTCTTAGCCTTCAGGACTATTTTGTCTTAAACATGTGGAAAATTATTGAATTCTAAAGCCAATTTTTAAAAAGAACCTGCTTTTATGTTAAAATGAGCACTTATAAATTATGGATCTTTCCCAAATGTCCTACTTAATTTTTTTGAACAAATTAGCTGTATTCTTATGCATACTGAAGAAGGACCTGGAACTCATTTACTCTTAAAAGTATTTTGCACAATTAAAAGCAGAATTTTTTAATATGTTTAAAGATTTAGTATAAAGGCAATGCTCTTCATTAGCTCAATATTTTTCCACCCACCCCCCTCCAACCCCCTTGCTGCTACCAGATGTGAAAATGTCACCTTGTTTTATTAACACATGTGCAAAAATCAGTTGAATCTTCCAAAACCAAATCTCAACCATGTCCAAGAATATTTAACTTACCATATTGATAACTGGATAGATCAGGATAAAGGCAGACATTGGTCTTCTGCTCTACTTTGCAATTAGAAAAAAATTGCAGTTAGACACGAATCAGCTTTCTGCAATGCATTCTTCAATGCTTGAAGGCTGGCTTGTGTCCCACCACATGGGCTACCTTGTATTTTTTAAATGTTTTTGTTTCAATCACAACTCAACAGACATGCCCTCTACAAATAATTATTTTCTCTGTGTTCCTTTCCGTACGTGGTAACGAGGCCTCCCTTCCTTAGCACCTTTTCCTTTCAGACCGGATTGCTGTCGGGTAACTGCAATAATCACTTCCATGGTGAAAATCACAATATAATCATATTATCAAGATGTACCTCCTAATCCTTCATTCCCAGCTGATCGTGTTCGCTGTGGCCTGGATCTAGGTTTCCCGGGTTCTCCAGCCTGCAATATTAAAATAAAAGTGCATAAAAATAACATTCCTTGGCTTTCAATATTCTTTGCCGCTGTTTATCAGTTTCAGCATTATGTTGACCTGAACTCATTCCAGTCAGCACATAATTTGTTAAAACCACTAAACTACACTTGTTTTTACCCCACATATTACAGTGCTTTTAAATGCATGGATCATATCAAAATTCCAGTACTATCCCTTCCTCACTTTTATCTATTCAAAGCTGAAATCTGGAAATAAACAGTACTGTTGGATGTTTTGATCGCCTTCCAATTTCCACAGAATGTCCCGCCACAAAGTGATCACTGCAGTCTAAAAGTGCCAGGAATATTTCATCCTCTCTCTCCTGTACTCTTTTCAACTTTGGTAAGTAAAATTACAATCATAAACGCTATTTCCTGACCTCAGAGAGGAGCAAATATTATATTGAAATTGAGCTAATTCAGATTTGTGAAAAAATCTCTAAAAAATGACTGTGAAAGTTGATAGTTTTTATACTTTATATATGAATAGGTGAAAAATGTATCAGGTTGGCGAATATTGCAGTCAAACCAGTTAACAACTTAAAAAAAGTCTCTCACCCCCTCCCGACCTTAGCAAATTTGTTTCATCTAATTCTACGAGTGGAGCTGGGTTTTAGCAAAGCAGGATAAGTCTTAGTGTATAAGACTTAGGACTGGTGATAGTTAGAGCAGGTTTCGCAGCAACACAGAGCTAGAGAGACCTGCTTAGTACAAGACTAGTAAAATATGAGATTTTATTAGCAAATTAAAGGTAAGAGGTAAAGCAAGGGGGATGGAAATTCGAGCTGAAAAATTGGCATGAAAGAAACTATAACATGCAGCATTTCATAATAGAATGTTATGTAAAGCTTCCAAATAAGACTAGAGCTGTTCAATCAAATACGAAGTGCTGTATAATAATTTTGAACAAAATCATGTCATGAAAGCAGTAAAGAAATTCAATTTAAATATAGCTCAGACTTTAAAGCCTGAAATTCCAATTAATCACAGCCTGTAAGAACATTTTGTCTAAAAAGTTAAATTATACAGAATGAAGCCAGAATTCATTTTCAGACCTATGGGAAATCAATGCAAATTGAGACTGAATTTAAGATTTTTCCACACTACGATCTTAAGTTAAAATAAAATGGTCTTCCAGATAAACTCTAGGTAGAATTCCAGGCTACAAGTTCCAAATTACTGCCCTTAATTTGTATGATCTAACATGTGCCAAACCTTTGGTTGCATTCTGGATACGTTTTTCTTTTTGCCTTGCTGTTCATCGATTTGGTATTGCTCAGTAAAAGTGGCCAATATTTCATAGAGTTCTTGAGCTACAGATGGTGGTTCCACATCTCCAAACAAAATTGCACATGCTCGAATCTCCTGGCAGTAAAACCTATAAAAGTTATATTTTTACATTTTAAGTTAAAAACTTTTCAGACAAGGTATGTAAAATATTATGCATCTATGGTGCAAACTTATTCCCTCTACATAGTCTGAAATCCAAGTACATATTTACAGTGTGTGTATTGTATTATTACAGAAAGGGCATCATATCCATATTGGGAGTACAGTAGAGATGGACCAGGATGATACCAGGAATAAGAACTTATGTTAATTTACATGAAATAGAATTGATTGTATGAGAGTGTATATTATGGTGTACACAATAAAAGTAAAGTAATAATAATCCTTGCATTTGATATAGCGCTTTTCACGTCGGGAGGACGTCCCAAAGCGCTTCACAGAACATACTGTAAAGTGAATTGACTGTATATTTGTGGGCGAACGCGGCAGCCAATTGCGCACAGCAATGCCCACAAACAGTCGTAGATTGAAAATGACCAATTTAATTATTGTTTTTTTTTTGGAGGGATTATTATTAGGCGTGTGGAGTAAGGAAACTTGCCCAAGGTTTCGCCCTCTGCCTGGAATTGAACTCAGGTCTCTCACTTGCAAAGCGAGTGCTCTAACCACTGAGCTACAGGACTCCACAAGTATTCATGGCTTAAAACAATATCCTCAACTTTCACATTGGTAGGCCATCTCAAAGTGCTCCACAGGATTTACTGGAAATTGTAGTTACTGTGTATTCTATAGGTGATCATGGCAGCCAATCTGTTCCGAATAATGTTCCGTATACAGACATGAAGTGAACGGCCAATTTTATGAGACCGATTGTTGGCTACTGGATGAAACTCCATTCTCTTTTCAAAATATGCTGGAGATATTTAATATGAACTGAATAGACAGAGGAGACCTTGATTTAAAGTTGTATCTGAAGGACGGGACCCCCAACGGTGCAACCTCAGCACTGCTTCGGAGTGTCAACCTAGTCTATAGGAGCTCAAAGTTCCAAGTAGAGCTTGAACTCAGAAACTTCTGACTCAGAGGGCCTGTGTCAAGTGGGCCAAGATGACACCTAGAGTAATGAGCATAGCATAACAACCAGAATATGAATCATTACTAAACAGTGATGTTTAAAGAACGATATGAATAATAACACCTGGGTGTTTGACATCTGAACATTTCTTCCTCTGATCCACAGAAACTGTTCCTTCTATTGTGATGTTAAAAAAGAGTGAATAGATGAATGAATACTGGAAGAGTGAATACTGGATAAGAACAACACTAGAATAGGAATAGATAAGGTGGTATTTGGCTTTTCACAAATAGATGTAAGACTAATATTGAAATGGCTCTTCCATTGTCCGCCTTAACAATCTGTTCTCCATTGCAAGTGCAAGAGATGTGGGAAGCAATTTAAAACAATTTAACCAGATTCTTTACAAATCATCACATATCATCATTTGAATAAATTTGTATTTGATTTCCAAAACTATGGGGCGATATTCTGCAGTAGGATGAAAATATGTTTTTACACTGGTATGTTGAGTTAATTTTACATTTTCTGGCAATCGGTCAGGGGCTTCGAGGCAACAGATGGTGGTTCTTTAGTAGTAAAAGTCTTGTGACCCTCAGGAAATAACAACTGAGCTAGATGGCAGGATTCAAAGCATTTAGGACCACATTGTGGGAGTAGCAGAAAGCCCAAGCGATAAATACCTTCTTCGTATGCCAAGTCACAATTCCATTGTGTGACAGTGCTTGATGCATCAGTGATTGTATTCCATGAGTAGCTGAGCTACACAAAGCAGGAAAGTGCCTGGTTCAATCTGATCTGTATTTACTATTAACCCAAGATTATATGAGAACAGTTACAAATGTGTTGTTAGGATTACTTAAATATAGGGTGAGATATTCTGTTGGCTGGTGAAGTTACAAATCTTGAAATTCCCATGAATATAGAACACATAAAAGCTATTCTGATTGGTGCTAATATGGGTCATGTTTCCCTACCTAATAATAATTATAATTATCTTTGCATTTGACATAGTATTGAGCCCCAACACTGTGTTGGAGTATTAGCATAAGTCCTGATCTTGAAACCACAATCTTCTGTTTTAGAGGCAAGAGTGCTACCAACCGAACCAGACTGACACACCTAAAAAGTCACTACATTTGACAGTAATAATGCAAGTTCTTTCCTTCTTGGATATATAAACAACAAAATTACATTTATAGAGTGTCTTTTACGTCGGGAGGACGTCCCAAAGCGCTGAACAGTCAGGTGTCAGGGCCCGAGCATGGGGGAAGGGTGGTGTAGGGGTAGGAGAAGGCACAGAGGTGGGAGGGAGACCAAAGGCATGGTCGAAGAGAACGGACTTGAGACCGGCCTTGAAGGAGGCAAGGGAGGAAGCGAGGCGAAGGGACCGTGGAATGGAGTTCCAGAGTGTGGGGGCAGAGAGGCTGAAAGCCCGGCCACTGATGGTAGGGCAGGTCGGGCGGAAAACATGGAGCAGGCCGGAGCCCGATGAACGGAGGGAGCGGGCAGGTTGGTAGGGAGTCAGTAGGTCAGAGAGGTAGCAGGGAGCAAGGCCATGGATGGCCTTAAAGGTGAGGACGAGGATCTTGAACTGGATCCTCTGGGGGATGGGGAGACAGTGAAGTCGGGCGAGGTTGGGAGTGATGGGGTCACGGAGCCTGGTGCGTGAGAGTACATGAGCTGCAGAGTTTTGGATGTTCTGCAGCTTGTGAAGGAAAGAGTTGGGAAGGCCAATGAGGAGGGAGTTCCCGTAATCGAGCCTAGATGTGTTGAATGCGTGGGTGAGGGTTTCGGCAGCCTGAGGGGTGAGGCAGTGGCGGATTCTGGCAATGTTGCGGAGGTGGTGGTAGTCAGTGCCGGTAATGGTGCGGATGTGGGGGAGAAAGGACAGTTCAGGGTCATACAAGATACCCAGATTCCTGTCTGGCTTAGTGAGGTTGAGTGTGCAGCCGTGGAGGCTGATGCTGCCAGCGCACAAGGTGCGGAGGTGCTGGTGCGAGCCAATCAAGAGGGCCTTGGTCTTGCTGATGTTGAGTTGGAGAAAGTTGGCCCTTGTTCAGGACTTGATGTCGGACAGGCAGTCGGTCAGGATGCCAGTAGTCCTGGAGTTCAAGGTGGAGGCAGTGAGGTAGAGTTGGGTGTCATCCGCATACGTGTGGAAATTTACTCCATGACTACGGATGATGTCACCAAGGGGGAGCATGTAGAGGATGAAGAGGAGGGGACCGAGGACAGAGCCCTGAGGAACACCGCTCAAGACGGTGCGGGGGCTGGAGGAGAAGCTGTTTGCCGCGACGAAGTGGAGGCGGTGTGAAAGGTAGGACCTGAATAACCAAGGACAGAACCTTGAAGGTTGAGGTGGGAGGAGAGGCGGTGGAGGAGGTTTGAGTAGTCCACGGTGTCAAAGGCAGCGGAGAGGTCGAGGAGGACGAGGAGGCAGAGGGAGCCCTGGTCACACATGGTCAGGATGTTGTTTGTGACCTTGACCAGAGCAGTTTCGGTGCTGTGGGCAGCACGAAAACCCGATTGGAGGGGATCATGGAGAGAGTGAGAGGAAAGATAAGAGCGAAGCTGAGAGGCAATGGCTCTCTCAAGGACCTTGGATAGGAAGTGGAGATTTGAGATGGGCCGGTAGCTAGATAGCTGTGATGGGTCAAGGGAAGGTTTCTTCAAGGTGGGGGTGATAGTGGCTGTTTTGAGGGGGGAAGGATCAGTGACAGATGACAGGGAGAGGTTAATGATGTCGGCAAGTAGTGGGGCAAGGAGGTGGAGCTGGGAATTAAGGAGAGGGGTAGAGATGGGGTCAAGGGAGCAGGTGGTGGATTTCATGGAGGTTACCGTTTTGAAGACAGAGGAGGGGGTGACAGGCTCAATGGTGTGGAAGGAGGGATGGATAACTGTCGGATGGGTAATTGTGTGGGGTAGGTGTAGGGAGGGGGTGGAAGTTGGGAGGGCAGTGGCAGCTGAGCGGATTCCCTCAATTTTGGACTCGAGGAAGTCCAGCATTTTCTCGCAGTGAGAGTCAGAGGAACAAATCTGTGAGGCGTGTCGGGGAGGGCCGAGGAACTGGTTGGTGGTGGAGAACAGGAGCCAGCGATTGCCTTTCGCCTCCATGATTAACCTGGAATAGAAGGATGATTTGGCTGAGGCAAGAGCGGAGTGGTAGGTCTTGATGAGGTCCAGCCAGATGTGGCGGTGGACTGTTAGGTCGGATTTGACCCAAGTGCGTTCGGCAGTCCGCACCTGGCCCTTAAGCGAGCGGAAGTGGCTGGTGAACCAGGGTGACGATCGGGAATAGGAGGCAGTTCGGGAGGTGAGGGGGGCAAGCGCCTCGAGTGTGGTGGAGAGGGCGCTGTGGAGAAGAGTAAGCACAGCGAGTGGGTTGGTGCGAGAGGTGGGCCTGAAGGGGAGGAGTTCAGACGACTCCAGGGCGGAGAGGGATTGCGTGGAGATCTTCTTCCACAGGCGGTAGAAGATGGTGGTAGGTTTGTAGGCAGTGGGGAGTGGAATATGGGAATTGAGGGAGATGAAATGGTGGTCAGAGATGGTCTTGTCAGTGATGGTGACATCCGAGACGCTGAGGCCCCGGGTGATCACCAGGTCGAGCGGGTGACCATGGGTGTGGGTAGCAGAGTGGATGTGGAGGGAGAGGTTGAGAGAGGAGAGGAGAGAGAAGTCTGAGGAGGTGGAGAAGAAGGGTGTGAAGTGGAGTTTGAAGTCGCCAAGGATGATGAGGTGGTCGGAACAGAGGCAGGGGGAAGCAAGGAGGGTGGAGATGTCAGAGATGAAGGTGGGGAGGATTTTGGGGGGCAGTAAAGTAAGAGAATTTTTGCAGAGAAGTGGAAGGGATAGCAGAGGGTAAGGTGTTCGAAAGAGGGGAACGAGCCGGTGGAGTAGGGGTATAGGGAAAGTGACGCCCTGGATATGAGGGCCACACCACTGCCACGACAGTTGGGCGTGTGGCATGGTGGTAGGCGTAGCCGGGTGGTGTTGCCTCAGTGAAGGGGAAGGTGTTACCTGGGGTGATCCAGGTTTCTGTGAGGACCAGGATGTCAATGTTCTCCTTGAAGATGAGATCATTGATAGCCAGGGTCTTGGAGATGGAGCGGACATTTTGAAGGCCAATGCGGAGTGGACAGTTGGCAGGGGGATGTGTGGGATGGGAAGGGGTAGTGGGTTGGTTGGCAGGGATGCGGATAAGGGAGAAGAGGTTAGCCCCTCGGGTCAGCGTCCGGGGTGGCCTGTGGCAGGAGTGGGGAATGGGGAAAAACAAGAATTATACTGAATGAAGAACATTTCATGCTTCTGTGAACTTACTTGCGATTGGTTTCCTTCCTTTCAATCAAACATGACCCTTCTAAAGATATTCCAGCGAATAAGCCACGTGACCTGCAGTATGTGTATACTGCAGCCGTACTACGCAGGGCAACATCTGCCTCCATGTTTCTGGAAAAGAACACATACTTTCCAGCTAAATTTCAAGAGTGGTAAACAATCTTACTTGTACAGAGAGGGGACCAAACGAACATGTTGGGCAACATATTCATGTCATTGAACGTTTCTGGTTCTCTGAATTAATAATAATAATCCTTGCAATTGATATAGTGCCTTATCATGTCATTGAGACAAAGCACTTCACATTTAATTAATGTGACAAAAAAACTGCGCTGAAATGCTTCCAGGCAGTCAAACATCCAGTGCAGATGAACTTTTGTGCCATGTTCTTTCACAAACTGAACTTGGCCGAAAACTCCCAATGAACCATATTTACATCTGATAAGAAAAGTGCATAGAATTACATAGAACACTGCAGCACGAAAACAGGGCATTCGGTAGGGTGGGTGTTCTGGAAGGATGAGATTGGATCGGCCGAAGAGCCTTCTTTATCCAAACTAATCTTCTGATCCACTGTAGAGTGCCGTGACTGTATGTTGTAGGCAAACAATGCAAAGGGATTAAAGCTTAGCCTAGAGGCTCATATGGAGTTCGTTAAATTACAGTTATCCATAATTTATTTTATTTGCCCTGGATATATAAAGTGTTTGAAGGAGTGCAGTCGCTGAGGTTAATATGCAAGTCGTTGATGCTGAAGTCTGTACACTAACTTCAGTGTCTGCACTCCTTCAAAAACGAATATAACCAGGGCTAATCAAAGTAAGCCAGCTTGTGTGAATAACTTACTCCTCAATGTAAAAGCACTGTCCAGTTTGCACAGATCTTATGAAAATTTCTTTACAATCCTGAGAACTGAAAGACCTCATGGTTTCAGCCTCAAGACCATGCTTTTGTTTTAAAAGAACTGAAGAAAACCAGCTTCCAAACGAACCTGAATTTAAGAATTTTGCCAAATTCTGCTGGACATTAAATCTAAAAACCTTCATAGTAAAGTTAAGACCACAAGGATTTTGGCCTCAGGCCAAAGTTAAGCTTTAAAATATCAAGGGATATGCTACTAACGCAAATTGTTAAGACTTTTATTAGAGAAACGGGTCAGCAATAATTACCATATTGAGACTTTACACGAAAAGTAAAAGACGTGACCAGATGTGGTTATAAACCTCAAACAGTGGAGATGAAAAAGAAACTGGGAATGCATGAAATCTGAAACAACAGAAATTTTGGAAATGCCTAATCTGCAGCCAATTGAATTTTGTACAGTTTCAGCTTTAAAATACCGTCTCCCCCTCCTCTCTCATCACCACTATAACCCGCATAAAACCGACCACCCGATCCCTCGACTCCATTTCTACCTCTCTCCTGACCTCCCAGCTCTACCTCCTTGCCCTCTACTCACAGACATCATAAACTTCTCCCTGTCCACTTGTATTGTTCCCACCCCATTAAAAACCGCCGTCATCACTCCTAACCTTGAAAAACCCTCCCTGAACCCAACTCTACTCCCAAACTACCACCCCATCTCCAACCTCCCTTTCCTCTCCAAGGTCCTGGAACGGGATGTTGTTTCTCAGCTTCGCTCCTTCCTCTCCCCCCACTCTTCACAAACCCTTCCAATCGGGTTTCCGTGCCACCCACAGCACAGAAACAGCCCTGGTCAAAGTGACAAATGACATTCTGTCCATCTGTGACTAGGGCTCCCTCTGCCTCCTCATCCTCCTTGACCTCTCTGCTGCCTTCAACAACGTCAACCACTCTGTCCTTATCCACCGCCTCTCCTCTCACCTCAATCTTCATGGCTCTGGCATGACTGGTTCAGATTGTACCTCTCACATCGCCTCCACTTCATCTCCTCTAGCCCCCGTACCGTCTTGTGCGGCATTCCTCAGGGCTCTGTCCTTGGTCCCCTCCTCTTCAATATTTATATGCTTCCTCTTGGTGACATCATCCACAGACATGGGGTCAACTTCCACATGTATGTGGGTGACACCTAACTATACCTATCTGCCTCCACCCTTGACTCCAGGACTACTGCTGTCCAGACAAAATGTCTGTCGGACAATCAAGTCCTGGATGAGAGCTAATTTTCTTCAGTTGAATGTCAACATGAACGAGGCTCCCCTGATTGGCTCCCGTCAGCACCATCATCCATGGTTGCATACTCCACCTTGCTAAGCCAGTCCGGAACCTTGGCGTCTTGTTTGACCCTCAACTATCCTTTCTACCCCACATCTGCAGCATGACCCGCTCTGCCTTTCCCTACCTCCGCAAAATCGCCTGGCTCCGTCACTGTCTCACACTGCAGGCCGCCAAAACCCTCATACACACTTTCTTTACGTCAAGGCTCGACTATGCAAACTCCTTGCTTGTCGGTCTCCCCAACTCCTCCCTCCATAGGCTGCAGATCATCCAGAACTCTGCAGCCCGCGCCCTCTCCCGCACCAGGCTCCGTAACCCTATCACCCCCATCCTCGCCCGACTCCACTGGCTTCCCATCACACAGAGGATACAGTTCACGATCCTGGTCCTCACCTTCAAAGCCCTCCATTGCCTTGCTCCCACCTACCTCTGTGACTTCCTAACACCCTACCATTCTGCTCGCTCCCTCCGCTCAGCGGGCTCCGGCCTGCTTCACATCCCCCGCTTCGCTTGCGCCACTATTAGCAGGTGGGCCTATAATCTATAATCTGCTCCCCCAGAGTAGACATTGGAAGGAAAAAAACCAATGCAAAATATCACATGAATTCTGCACAAGAGTGAAAATAGATATTGTACCAATTAGAGGAGTGGATACTCTTACACACAACCCTTGTCCTTTTAAAAAAACTTTAGATTTAAAAAGATATTCTTCCATGTGAAATGGCTATACAAATGTAAGATACTTTTTACATAGTGACATAAGAATCATAAAATATTGCAACACAGAAGGAGGCTATTCAGCCCATCATGCTTGTGCCGGCTCTTTGGAAGAGCTACCCATTCAGTCCTACATGCCCACTCTTTCCTTATATCCTTGCAATTTTTTCCTTTTCAAGTACCTATCTAATTTCCTTTTGAAAGTTTTTACTGAATCTGTTTTCACCACCCGTACAACTCTCAGTGTAAAAAAAATTCTCCTCATCTCCCCTTTTTTTTTGCCAATTATCTTAAATCTCTCTTAAATCCACTGACCCACCTGCCAGGGGAAACAGTTTCTCCCTATCTACTCTATCAAAATCCTTCATAATTTTAAACGCCTCTGTTAAATCTCCCTTTAAACTTCTTTTCTCTAAGGAGAATAATCCAAGCTTCTCTAGTCTCTCCACATAACTAAAGTCCCTTGTCCGGGTACCATTCTGGTAAATCTCCTCTGCACCCCTCTCCAAGGCCTTGGTATCCTTTCTAAAGTGTGGTGCCCAGAATTGGACACAATACTCCAGCTGAGGCCTAACAAGAGACTTATAAAGGGATAACAGAACTTCCTTGCTTTTGTACTCTATGCCTCTATTTATAAAGCCATAAACGGACTAAAGAAAGCATGCTCTAAAATAAAACCTTCAAGAAATACTACTGTACTTCCAGCATAGTACTTTCAAAGTGGTTTGCTGTGAGTGAGGACTTTGCTGTTGCAGGTTCTCCTTTCTAACTCTACTTCTACTAAACAGGGATAAATGGAAATGATCTCACGGCAGGTGGATCAGAATGAAAAATCCATAAACTCCTGTAGTTAACAATCAAGTATTCAAATACTTTAGTTGTCAGACCACTCCATACAGAATTAAAAAAAAGGATTATTTTTATCTAATCAATGCCAGGTGAATGAGAATAAAAAGTACATCATGGGACTCTTCTGGTTAATAGTCAAGTATTTGACTGCTTTAATTAGCGGGCATTTCCAAGCATAATTTTATCTCATCTTTCCAGAATACCCACCCTAACTTCTTCCCATTACAACATCAAGCTGCTTCTTAAGCGGATTCAGCGTCCTGGCTTCTATCAGCCTACTATCTGCCCAAGGGGCCCGATAGCAAGGGAAGTTAACCTGTTCCAGTTGCTGATATGAAGTAGCGGAGCAGGTTTCCATAGTGTTACCCACTGGTGGTCAACTTGTGGTGCCGTCAAGAAGCACCCCCTGCCCAGAACATTCACATGAGTTGAGGTAAGTCTGGGTACGATCGGTAGCGTTTTCAGTGGCAAAAATGTATTTTGTTAAAGTTTGGCTACCGCTGCGTGACATTGTGGAGTCCTGTAGCATTATGGAGTGGTTAGAGCACTCGCCTCGCAAGTGAGTGGATCTGGATTTGATTCCTGGAAGGGTGAAATGTTGGGAGTGTTTCCTTACTCACACGCCTGTTTACCGAGCAGTAAGTAGGAACCCGGTTGTTAGTCGATTGGTGGGGTCGCTTTTCCAGGGGTAATAATCCCTTCAAATAATAATAATAATTTGGTCACTCAGTTCATGACTGTTTGTGGGACACTGCTGTGGGCAACTGGCTGCTGCATTTCGCCCACAAAATATACAGTCAATTCACTTTAAAGTAAATTCGTTGAAGCGCTTTGAGACGTCTCAAAGACACGATGAGACGCTATATCAAATGCAAAGATTATTATTATTACATTGTTAAAAACTGTAATCCAATGCAGAAACTTGTTTGACGGCTGCTTGCAGGAATGCTGGGGTTGGGTCCATGCCTAGTGTTTCCACATGGTAAATTCCTGGTTTCAATCATTCCACTTTGGGCATTTGCCAAGTCAACCACAGGAAAGGAGAGAAAACAAACATCAAGCCTGGTCGTTCTATTGAAGCATTCCCAGAATTTCTCTCAATGGACAACAGAGGGGTAATGGCATTAAATCCCAGCTCTGCCACCTACAAGCCACGGATGGATAGGGCATGAAAAGGCCACAGCTGACACAGATCTAAGTCTGCACAAGAACCACTGGTGAAGGGGTGTACTAGTTTCCATATCATGCTCCTATTCCCTTCCACTCCCTCTGATTTCATTACAATGGTTGGGCATGAGTATTTCAGCTGTTGCACTGTTATTGCTGAAGCAGCTTGCGTTTGTTAAGTGTATATACCTACATCACCTCCCTGTACCTAAAATCAACTTACTGACACAAATTTCCACTACTTCAAAGTAAAAGTGTGGATTTTGATTGAGAACAAGATTGGGCTCAGCTGTGACATTTGAATAGCCAAACAAAAATTGCTGTCCAGACTCCCAAATGTCTAATGGCAATTTGGAGGAAATGCTTCACCCCACTGGGGCTGTTTCCTCACAAATGTCCCAGCTTGCCAGAGGAGGGGAAACATTGGAAAAGTCAAGGGAAGACACCAAATGCTTACCATGCCATTGTCTGAAAGAGTTAGCAGTTCAGTGATCAAATTACTTGAAATTGATGAAAGAAAAATCCATGACTAAACAAAATTAGATATAAAGTAACTCACCTGCCCAAGGGCCCAATTGCAACAGTGAAATTTCCACCAAGTGTGAGATTGCCTCCTTTGGCAAAGGCCTTAACTGCACGGTTGTGATTCAGAATTATCACCAAATCAGACACCTATAATAAGTTAGAAAAGGAATTGAATTAATGGACTTCAATCAAGAAATTTCAACGTGCAGCTTCATGGATTGTGATGCTGTCATAGTAACCCCTGAGAACACACGATTTAGGGAAAAGAACATTGGTCTAGATATTCCAGCGAGGATACATTAATAGAATTAAATTAGCTTGCTTTAATGCTGAATGTTGCAGGAATGATGTACAGTTGCATCAAAGGGTGTAAAAGGTTGCACAGCAAATCAAGTTAGCTTCTCAACCAACCTTAACTTGCCATGGAAGCATTAGCAGGCGGAGAGAGATGTTAATGAGGGGGGGAGGGGTGAGATCATAATGGATGGGGGGGGAAGAGCAGGGTCCCGTTACAAGGATGCCAGATGTAAATGGCTTAAATTTTAGGGGGAAATGTCCAGGGACAAAGATTTATGAATGTTCAATTTGACATAATTTTAATAACAATAATCCTTATATTTGGTATAGCAACTTTCTTGTTGGGAGGATGTCCAAATTGCTCATTGGATATACTGTAAAATACAGTGACTGTTTTGGGGGTGACTGCGGCAGCCAATATGTGCATAGCAATGTCCCACAAATAGCCATGGAATGACCAATTTTATTTGGGGACTGATGGCCAGGACACTGGAAGAAACTCTCTTCCATAGCGCCATTGGATCTTTACCACCAACCCGAAAAGGCAGACAGGACCTTGGTTTACGTCTCAACTGAAGGTTGGCACCTCCAATAATGCAGCACTGCTCCAAGCACTGCATTGTAAAATCAGAACATTTGGAACAAGCTGACTGCATTGGAGTGTCAGCTTAGACTATATTAGTTCCAAGTCCCAACGTGAGGCTTGAACCCCTAACCAACAAGGGTGCTACCAACTGAGCCAGGCTGACAGCCTCTTACAAAAATGTCAGATGTAAATGGTTTAAATGTAACAGGGAATGTTTGGACATAGATATTTATGAGTAATTCATTTTCATATTGTTTTAATTGAAGACAATGACAACAAAAAATTGCATTTATTTTGAGCTCTTCACTTCAGAGAATGTCCCAAGGCACTGAACAGTCAAGGATTTGAGTCAAGAGGGGTGGAGGGCGAGGGGACATGCGGGTGGGAGGTTGACCAAAGACATGGTCAAAGAAGAAGGACTTGAGACGAGTCTTGATGGAGGCAATGGAAAGGGCAATGTGGAGGGACTCCGGGATCGAGCTTCAGAGGTTGGGGCAGAAAGGCTGAAGGTCTGATCGCTAATAGTGGGGTAGGCAGGGCAGGGGACATGGAGCTGGCCGAGTGGAGGAAGCAAGCAGGTTGGTAATGCTGATATTGCTTGAATTAAGAAAGATAAATTTATAGGTATGATACTCAAAAAATATAATCAGTCAAAGGGGGACATGCTCCCAAATATAATTGTTTTCCACACTATCACGTCTGGTACTTGTAATTTAGCCTGAACCCATTCTTATCAAAAAAGTCGGAAATAAACATCTTCAAAAATATGGAAATAAGTGAGTAAATTGACGGTTACTCATTTCCAATAGTTAATATGGTCAAATTAGTGGTTTTACAAGTTTACATGGGTGTTTGCCCACAAAAATAGCTTTGAGTTATTGGGTCTATAAACAAATAGCAGTAGTAGCAGTGAGTAAGGCAAACCAGATGCTGGGTTGTATTAAAAAATAGTGAGTCAAAATAGTCGGGTAATCCTGCCACTTTATAAATCAATGGTGCGACTGCGCATGGAATACTGTGTACAGTTCTAGTTCCCGCAATACAAAAACGATATTGCAGCGATTGAGAGGATACAGAGGAGGGCAACCAAAATGATTGAGGGGTTGGAGGGACTGAACTATGAGAAGTGATTAGGTAAACTGGGTATGTTCACAATGATGAAGAGAAGGTTGAGGGTTATGATTACGATCTTTAAGATTCTAAAGGGTCCAGATAATGTAGACCATGATAAGCTGTTTTATCTTGTACTGAACAATAGAACCAGAGGACACAGTCTGCAATTGAAAGGGGTAAAATCAGAACATTTGGAACAGGCTCCTTAGGGAAACAGGGAGACAGTGGAAGCAGATTCTTTCAAGAACAAATTAGATAGATTTCTGTTAGGAAATAATATGCTGAGACACCATATATAGTTTTGGGTACGACATGTCATACGACTGCCAGGATGGTGGAAGGCAAACTGGATGGATCTTGGTCTCCCTTCGCCTTGAAAATTCTCGTGTTCTTAAATCTTTCTCTTCCCCACACCACTCCCCAAATTCTGTAACCCATCTTAATTAACATTCAAAATGTATTCTATATTCTTCAACCCTCATCCTAGTTAAGAGCATTGACATGCATTCATATAATAATTCTGCATTGTTGATTACTGTATTTTCAGTGACAACTCTATTTTCAAGGAAAAAATTCAAGTAAATAAGACTGGCAGGTGAACTGAATTAAATATAGCTAGTGAGATTCTGCTCCAATGTGGCTTGCATTAAACTTAACCTTAAGCAGCATGCTCTAATTCACGAAAAGGTTAAACAACAATAAATCAACATGTACCAATTCCTTTTTAATGTAGCTAATGATGAAGCTATACAAAGGCACAACACTTCTATTATTCAGAACATAGTCAATTCAGTTTACAATATATTCTGTGAAGCGCTTTGAGAAGTCTCGAAGACGTGATAAGGTACTGTATCAAATGCAAGGATTATTATTATTAGAAATCATACAGTTAAACAATGTGAATGTTTAAAAAAATTAAATAATCGGCTCAAAATAAATTATTTTAGTGTTTTCACTGTTTTATTGGCACTGTTTTATTTTCTTTAGCTCAATTTAATAAATGGTAGGTGGTTGTGCTTGCAAGGTATCAGCAATGCATAAGCGAGTTCACACCACTTTCTTACGACACATTGTATAGCACGATGCATAGCTGGTTGTATCCATCTTCTTTTCTGCGCATACTTACAGTCAGAAAATCATCTGTAATTGATTTGGACATCTCCAAAGCCTTTAACATGGTCTGGCACCATCCACTTCTAAACCAATTATCATGTCACGATCTTCTATCTAAGCTATATTCACTGTGCAAGTTATCTTCTAGTTATAAGGGTCCCTTTTGGAAAATACGTCTACAGTTTGTTTCACAATAGACCTCTGGTTGCTTTCATTAAGTTTCTTTTAAAGCAAGGACATTTTTATGTTACATAATTTTGTCAAGCTTGTTGTATGCACCTATGAAGTAGGAGTATGGAATGAAAATCAATGCCTTCAATGCAAAGCACATGTCAATGCTCAAAAGGGACTGATCAGTTAGTCATAGAAATGCATTGACAAGAGTTTTAAATGAGACATTTATAGTAATTCTACAGTGAAGTTCTTAAAGAAATAACAGGATTAAGAGTAACTGAGTCATCTACTGTGCCCAATGACGTAGAATCTATTGATTCTTTTATATTCTCTTTTTAATTTTAAAGAGTTCGACCACATACTAAATTTAAGGCTCTTTGCCACTATCACTTTGGGCATAAAGTTAAGGATCATGTCACTTTCTCTACCAAGATGGAATACAGACCCAATAAGGTAATCTTGCCATTGCCCTCAAGCTGACAGTGGCAATCAGTCATCTGTGAATAACTGAAAGGTTGCTTTATTTTGGCCCCAAATGATTAATGTAATGCTAACTTTGAAATTATATATCCTTGCCACATTTAATCAAAAAACTATCACTACTTTAATTGAACAATTACTGGCCAGAAAAAGTCCACATGAAAAAGGAGCAGCTGTAATAGAGCAAGTTTAAAAGATCAGACAAGCTAAAAATATAGGAGGGATTATAATAAGGCTCACACTTTAAAAGGTCAAACTCCACACATTTTCAAAAATGAGACCTGAACATTAGCTCCAATAAACATTCATACGAAAGGAATGGTAGCACACCCGCATTTGAGTCAGAAGGTCATGGGTTCAAGCCCCATGTCGGGACTTGGAACCACACAGTATAAGCTGACACTCCAATGCAATGCTGGGGGTGTGATGCATTTTCGGAGGTGGTGTCCTTCAGATACGATGTTAAACCGAGGTCCCATCTTCCTGTTCAGGTGGACGCTAAAGATCACATGGCACTATTCAAAAAGAGAAGGGAGTTTCTCCCAGTGTCCTGGCCAACAATCCCCCAAATAAAATTGGTCACTCACTCCATGGCTGTTTGTGGGACATTGCTGTGCGTAACTGGCTGCTGCATTTCCCTCACAAAATACAGTCACTCCCTTAACAGTATATCCTGTGAAGTGCTTTGAGATGTCTCTATGACATGAAAGGCTTATATCAAATGCAAGCATTAGTATTACTAGTAAAATATAAAGCATATCTGCTCACTAGGAACTTGTGTTTTCCTGTATTACAGAAACACAGAAATTTACAGCGCAGAAGGAGGCCACTCGGCCATCGAGTTCGCACCGGCTCTCAGAGTGAGTATAACAAGTATTATGTTATTGATGAACATCTCCGACAAAGCAACACTACCCCAGAGACTGTGCCAAGTGTCAGAGTGTGGCTGGAAATCACAACTTCTGACCCCGAGGTTGAGAGTGGTGTCAATTGAACCAAAAGTGCTCTTGAAATATTTCCTGTCCTTCTGCCTTAGTAAGATGAACGTTAAAAAATCTCCCTACAATATTTGAAAAAAAAAAGGACCTGCTAAGTTTTTGTGCTTCCTACATCTGAAGGATTTTTGCAATTCAAATTGTGGAATTTCTCAGCAAGATAAAAGGAATCCCTCAGAATTCATTGACCCATGAGAATTCCTGCTCCAGAAGCAGATCAAGACAGACCAGATTTCTGAACTACCTACAGTGAAGCCTCATTATAACATGATGTTTGGGATCGATAAAATTAGCAGCAAAGCAGCAAGTGATGTCTGGAGTAATCGGAGTCCCTCCGACTCATTCCTTCCCCGCATTGTTCAACGTCCATCTCAAGATGTACCTGTTTG